TGGAGGTCAACACTTTCTTGTTTGTTTGTTTCCTCTCGTTCTTCTCTCCTTTTGTTTATTGTTATAAACAGTTATGTCTTATACGTGAATAAAGAAGGCCCTGTGAACTCAGGACATAACAGTCTTTTATCAGAAGTATCATCAAAATTATACCGCATAGTCTTTTGAAATACATCGCTATCAAACGATGTAAAAAGAGGTCGTAATAGAAAGAAAATAATGTTTAGTGATAATAGAATATAAACTATCCTGTAACACTTCAAATCACCTTTAAGATTGTTTCAAATATTCTAGATGGTTCAACTTCAACGTACTACACAAGAAACATCACATCGAAAGATTTTCAATCAAGCAAGAGGTCAAGCAAAAGCCTCCCAAGTATCTTCAACAACTGAAAAACCAAAAAGAAAAACAACAGACGGTGAGATATTCTATTTTGTAAAAACATATGCTATACTTTCTTTGATTATTTCAGAAAATTTCGATACAACTCAAAGAAAGAGACCAAAACAATTTGAACCATCATCAAGTATTTTCTGTATACTTTTAAAACAGCGAACGCAACTCTTCTATCGTTTTGTTTAAGATCACGCTTCATCCATTCGTTTTGATGTACTTACAAATCCTGTATCATTGGCAAAGGGAAGCCAGAGAACACAAATTAATACGGGTAAGACTGTATAAAGGTGTGATCTTCGATTGTAAAGCTGTGAAGTTCCTAAATTTCACGCTGTAAACATTCACAACGCTACCAGTTTATCCATGAAACTTGTAAAACTATAACAATGAGTCCCTTTCATTTAGCTCAATTCAGTACGTATCGCGCTCGTTGTCCTCATGGTACTGTCGATACTGCACAAATTCGTAAACAACGTAAAAATGTTTTACAGAAGCAGCAAATAAATATAATGCAAGCACCACAAGTTAATAATTATGACGACGATGATGAAAACGAATTAAGTATGGTAAATAATTTCTAGAGGCTCTAATTTAATTTTAATTTTTAAGCAACTCAAAATAAACTGAACAACTATGATGACGATGACAATGAGGATGAACAACTTACTGAAACCATGACTCAACCACAAAATCGATTGAGTCATCCCCGTAACACACGTCAACGTTCGTATGAATTGATTGATGAAGCAGATGATTCAGAGTCAATTAAAGAACGCGAAAATGGTAAAGTTATTCCTAAACTATCGACACACTTTCATTAATATTAACTTGAAATATATTGTCAACACTAAAAACATTTTGTTACCAATAATTCAAGCCTTCAATCTTTCTTGATTTTTAGTTGTTGATGCAAGTGATGATAATCTTAGTCAACTCTATTTTGATGATAAGTTTAATGAATTAAAAGCAGGTAACTATATTCCTCACACAAACATTTAGATCCATGCACGTTGTGCTCAATATATAAAAAAAAATTTTACTACCAATTTACGCGAAGACAGGATATACACAAATAAAGTGATTTTCATTATTTGATTTAGATTTGGCACAAACAACAAATACAATAGCAGGCAATGTACAAATTCAATTGAATAAACTTGATAAACAATTGAAATCATTGTCAAAAGCGGTACAAGACTATTCCGTAAGTTAACGCATTGCATGAAAACAGATTTTGAAAGTCATCTCTACACTAGGTTAATCCGACTTTGATACCGTATCAAAATCTTACTTACACGTATCCGAAAACAGTGGTAAGTCATTCAATTTTAACTAATCTATTAATTAACAAATATTTATCCTACAATTAGCCATTCCGTGGCATCAACTTGTTAACCGCCTCAAAAGCCACGGATTATAAGAAATACACTAGAACAATACTAAAACTACTATTTTCCTCTAAGGAATTAAGCGAATCAATTTTGATATCAAATCCACGATATACACGACCAGGATTAGATCCAGAACGAATGGCTACATGTTCAGGTAAATAAACCAACCATTAACTTTAATGTATTCACAGAGTAGAGCTCCTCTTCAACATGATCCAAAAAAAGTATTTCCTACAAAAAACGAATCGTGCTAGCATAATAACATTGCTACAAACTAATAGTGAATAAGAGCCTTTGTCTTCTCATGCCAAAAATGTCATCGAACAAAACTAACTATTCACATTTCGGTCACACAACTTCATCAATACTTCTCTTGTTCTCCATCACACAAGTCAAAGTTCCTTGCTATACAACGATGCAATCCTTGCGATAGCTAAAAATCTACAATTCAATACATTCATCGGACTCAATCTACAAAACATAAAGCAGCGTCATCAATGTTTTATCCACATTCACTTCTCTCTCGACCCTTCAATGGCATTCGTTCTTTTCTAGTATCGAAATACCGAAGAGTATCGCTGAAAATACTTTCTTTCAATGAAAAAAAACATCACTTTCCCAAGACTCGCACTGTGCGCAACGTTTTCAACTTTCATTCAATCACCGATATCTTTTAGTTTTTCGCCACTCTACCAACACCATGAACGTTGATAGTTCATTTCGTTAAATTAAATTCGAGTCAATGAATTCTTTTTTGTTTAGTTTTACTATGAACGTTCATAGTTTGTTTTGATACATTCAAATCAATTCAATGAATCGTTTTCTTCTTTCGTTTCACTATGAACGTTCATACTTAGTTTTGATACGTTGAATTCGATTCAATGAATGATTTTCTTCTTTCGTTTCACTATGAGCGTTCATACTTGGTTTGTATACATTCAAATCAATTCAAGGAATCATTTTCTTCCTTAGTTTTACTATGAACGTTCATAGTTTGTTTTGATACATTCAAATCAATTCAATGAATCGTTTTCTTCTTTCGTTTCACTATGAGCGTTCATACTTGGCTTTGATACATTCAAATCAATTCAATGAATCGTTTTCTTCTTTAGTTTTACTATGAACGTTCATAGTGGTTTTCACGTATTGAATTTCGTTCAATAAATTCTTTTCCCCTTTAGTTTCACTATGAACGTTCATAGTTTGTTTTGATACATTGAATTCTAGCCAATTAAGTTTTTCTTTTCTTCTTTAGGCTGTAACGCCTATAGACAGGTAGTATTTCAAGCAGGAATTCGCTATTAGGAATCGGTCTTATAATTAGAGTTGCTGAAATAGTTTCGGTGTTCGCTATGTATTTCATGTCGTTTTGGAAGGTAGTAGTGGTTGATATGTTTATCGATACGGAAGTGGTTGCGTTTTGCGTCGGATTTGGTTTAAAAAAATTCGGTGGATGGTTCCAAATGTTCTTTATTTTTGCATGGATTATGTGTTAAACGACTTTTTTTTATGTTCTAGAGGCTGTTGGTGCTCGTTTCAAAATTGATCCTGATCGTTTCGATGACTTTTTCCGGACATGTTTGAGAAGAAACCTCGAACAAATGATATGCGATGTGCGTCGGGCAACTCGGAATTCAGCTAATTTTGTTGCAGAGCAGTTGCATGGGGATGAAATAGAAGGAGCAGAGGTCGTGGGTAATCGAACCTCGGATAGTACAGTGTCCGGTCGTCGTGATTCGAATTCAGGTGGTGGAATGGAAAATCGTAATCTTTAAGTTGCACATGGATTATCATTTGGTAAGTTTTTATGGAACATCGATAAATTTTCATGTTATGTATCTTTTTTTTGCAGGTAGTGGATAGTGTTTTTTCATTCTCGTTGTCATATCTTTGGACGGTTTAGGTTCAAAACCATTGGTTTGTTTTTTTTGCTTTTTTTTTAGGGTTGCGTGATTTGCTTCTAGAGTTTCGTTTTTTGTTGTCACGTTTTTTTGTAGCTCCTGCGTGCAGTTTGTTCGTGTTTCAGATTTCGTTGTCTTTTCCGTTTTTTTATTATGCGTTCTTTTTTGACTCCGTTGCTTGTTAGAACTTTTTGTTGATCATTGGATCTAGTTTTTCTTGTGATTCGTGTAACTCTGGAAGATCCAATGAAATTTTTTGTTTTACTCAAGCGTTTCGTTGATTATGTGGCAGCTGTCTGGTCACTCCTAAGACTAAACTGATTTTTACCATAAAGAAGATCTATGAAAGTTGAGAAGTGTGCTTCTCTCGTTTTTCTCGCTTCTTCAAAGTGTTCTTTCTGCTGTTCATTTTTTTCCGTGCCTCCTTTTGTCATTAAGTTAATTAGTTATTTCTCTTTTTTTTCGTTTCATATTTACCGGTGCAAACTAGCTTTTTTCACTCTATATTTCCTTCAAGAATAAAATTTTACAGGTGAAGTGAAGTTTATATTACTATTTACTGATATATCAAAGCACGCAACCTTGTGTTTCTTGATAAAATAACGAAATCCTAATTCTCCAATACTAGCTGGTCATATATGATCTTATTGATGGATCATACAAGAATCTTACCGTAATTCTTGATGTAAGATTTCAGAGACGACGATTTTTCGTACGATTTTTCGTCGGATCATACACGATCGGATAAGAATCTGTGACCGATCTTGCTGTCTGATTTCTCGCCCTGGGGAGAAACCCAGGTCGAACAAACTGACACTAAGATCATGTATGAATTCTTGTATGATCATATCCGATCTTAGTCAAGAATCGTATATGATCATACAAGATCATACGGAAAATCGTACGAAAAATCGTCGTCGCTGACATCTGATGTCAAATCTTACGTCTGATTTCGTATATGATTTAACAGTACGATCTTACGTATCATTATGTAAAATGGTACAGGGTGATTATAAGCCATTTCTTCATAAATATCCATTATTGAATATTTTTACGCAGCCGCGCAACTACAATTCTACCCTGAAAAACGACAACCGTACGAAACATAGAAAGGGTTCCGAAAATTGCTGCGAATTCGAAATCATTTTAGGTTCCGTGCAAACTAGGTTCTCCTCGAACCGTTTGTCGAAAAGGTCAAATATAGGGTTTCTCACACTGCTCTGTCTACTCAATGTAATAAATCAGTTAGAAAGCTCCGTCTAGCAAACGCCGGTTCCTAGAAAACCCTTCTGGGGTTTCAGGGCATTCATTCTCCCCCTTCTCAATCGAGAACAACCCGATCGTAACACCTCAGGGCAACAATGCGCGATTAGCTCCTGCAGAAACCAGCGCCCAGAACGATCGACATGGAATGCTTGATCTAAGCAGAAATAAATTATTTCAAGAGGTTTTAGCTTTCAAAATCGAACTTACCTTTTATGTTTGATCATATGACACTTGACCTCAGGTGAAATGAAAGACGTAATAATGGTCTGTTTGATTCGTTTCATTATTGACTGAACACGGGAGACCTATTCTGCGTAGATAGTTACATCGATAGCACTATTCTATTAATTATCTCGCCGAATAGCAACTGAAATTTTCACGCACTTCCCAATGTAAGAAACAAATTTTAATGTAAGAAAATCAATTTGTGTTTTTTATGCATTTAGTTTCTGACTATGGGAAGTTTGGATCGAAAAAAAGACGACGGATTTGTTTTCCTAGGCCTCGATAACCTATTATGAAGTTCGATCAAAATGCAAGAAGGAGTTGAAATAAAAAATCTAGCTTTACAGTTTTTGACTTTGGGGTGTATCTATTTTCTGACCAATGGGAGCTCGCCGTGAAAAACTGATTACATATTTAGGTTGCTGGACCTCGATAACCTATTGTGATGTTTCATCAGAATACAGAAAAGAGTTGAAATAAAGTCTTATTTGTCAGCGGTTCAATTTTGTCGATGTAAAATTTCTGCTAAGATATTAGAAGGTCGAATTATAGCCTACTTTTTGAAGGATTAAAGATTTTTAAAGCTGTGAGAATTTTTTTTTCAATTTTGAGCAGAACCTTGGAAACCAATTGTGGTGTTTCTTATTTGCTTTTTCAACGCTAACGAGGTTAAGACACCTAAGAAGGATTTTAGAAAACGCTGAATGTTGTTGAAAGTCCTCTTGGAAATCCGGAAACGCTTGTTTGAGGGATTGCGAGTAGGTTTTGTTTTGGATGGAAGCTCCCTTTTTGAGGGTACGGTCAAAATTAAAGCTCATTAGCGGTTCCTTTTGTGGAAGGTGTGGGTTGCGACACTTAAATAAGGTTTTGGTGCGAAACCTTTGATGATTGTCAAAATTTAGTGCGGTATGATACCAAACCCGGTTGACTACGAAACCTAAAATGGTTCCATACTGAACCTTTGACGCTTTCGAAAAATCACAGGCGTATTTTACAGAACGTTTTTTAGCGCGAAACCTTTGAAAATTTTCGGAGACGCGTACGAATGCTTTCAGAGTATTACAAAATACTGGTGAACCTTAAAGGTTTCACCAGACACAATTTTCTTCAGGGTAGTAAATATTACCTAACTAAGGACACTTTATTTATTGAATGCAATACACAGGCACCTGCGCTGGAAGTTACCATTAAACAAAAATTCATAAGATAATAGTCACAAAAGCTGATGCACAGAAATCTTTATTCTTTATGCTATTAATAATGAAAATTTACCAATAAGAATTTTGATCTTCTACATTCCTCATACAGAAAAATAAGAAACTCTAGGAAAATCGCAATTGAGAACTAAGTTTTTCTATATTGTCACTATAGAAAAAATAAAAACGAAACAAGAATTTTCTGTATTATGAATATAGAAAAATAAGAAATGAAAAGTAACACTTGCAATAATATCTATACAGAAAACGAAGAAAACAAAAATATGACTTTTTGTAGAGTTTAACATAGAAAAACTGGGTGTTAAAATTAAAACTTTGGATGTTATCAATACAAAAATATAGAAGAACAATGGAATATTCTATATTACGAACTGAGAAGAATACGAAATACAACTTATTGCTTTCTATGCTGTTAATATCAAGGGGGAAACACCGTACTTTGGTACTTTAACTACTTTAACTACTTTAATGTATTTCGAGGTACTTTGAAGTACTCTCAAGTGGTTTATGGCACTTGAATGTACCTAAAACTTATTTGGCAATTAGCTTTTCATCGTTTTCGGCAAACTGATTCAGTTGTAGAAAATATATCTTGCGCTAAAGATGTTGATTTATTAACGATTTACATATGCATCATTTTCAAAATAAAAACTAAATTAAAATTAAATAAGCTTATTAGAAAAAGAAACACCACATGCCTATTATAAGTACAAATTCAATTTCATGTTCAAATACAATTACAATTTTACAGCAAATATCTACAAAAATATTTTATGAAAAGTTATTAAAACAAAACTGTGTTTGACTTTTTCACCTTTTTCTTTGGACTGTTGGAATCACTATCAATTCCTTTTTTTCTACTAACTATAGGAGATGATGTTGTCGCTGGCGCATCAACTGAAAGAACTGTCATCATTGGACTATTCGTTTCAACAGATGATGTTGTTATTGAATTGATGCCCAGCTGTTTTTGACTTTGTGCCTGATCGTGAAATCTCTTTTTCAATGCTTTGATATGTAAACAATTGGTATCTTTCAAATGTTTATAATAATTCGATAACTGAAATTTTCCAGCATTTTTTCCTAAAATTAATTTAGAGCCACATTTACATTGAATATTGATTTCCAAAGCATTATTTATATTTGAAAATGCAAAATTAAAATCAACATCTTCTTTTAATTCAAGTTCATTCAGTTCAAGGATTGCTCTGTTGTCGATGCACCATTGATGGATTAATTTTAGTAAGTATTGTCGATGTTCATCTATGATTGATGGCGAACACGGAGTTGTCAATAATGACGTTGATGATGCTGATATTGAAGTAGAAAGTGCAATTGATTGTACAGGTGTAGTATTGGCGAATGTCATAAATTGTTGTTTACCCTTTAGTTTCATCTTTTTCATTTCTTCTTCAATCTTTCTTAATAACAAATTTTTTAAACATTTAAGGCAATTTTCAATACCAGGTTTCACTATCACTTGACTGTTTTTTAATTTAATGCATATTTCTTGACTCATTTGTTCCAAAACTTCATCATCGATATCGAGCGTCAAAATTTCACATGGATTTTCTGTTAAAAGAAAGCACGGTACACTACTAATTTGAAGATATGACAACAGACGAGCGTTTATTCTTCCGAGATGAACTTCAACAAAATTATAAAAGGCTTCATCAGTATATGATAAAACATCATCTGGTAATCGACTGGTATCAAGAAAAAAACTTTTGGAACACATAATAAAGAAAAATTGAAGATAATAATGGAAATTTCGGCCACACTAATTCGATGGAAATAACAGCGCTCGAATTCCGCCAAAACGTCGTTATTACGACAAGAAAACGATTTGTTCAATAGAATAACGAATAAATAACACATCGTTAGTATACATTTGCATGACTTATGGAAAATAGTGACATCTAAATTGTGAAGATGCTTCATACGCTAGAAATGTGTATTTTTGAGGAACGGTTAGCACATTGAATATTTATTCTAAACAATTAATTGGTTATTGTTCAAATTCCTGAAAAGAATAAACAGAATAAAAAAGGTATTCAATATTTTAGCTATTATTGTTTCTTATAAACCAAAACTATCATAAATTTAAGCAGAAGCTCAAATATGATACTAATTGAAATATTACGTTGATATAACATCTTAAATAAATTCTAATTATCAGCTGAAATAGAAAATAGCTGCACATATACAAAATAAAAAGTTTCTGTACATCATTTGCTTCACTCAACATCTTTCACAAAATAATTACAGGATCTCTGCTCCTACACTGTAAAAAAAAGGCAGAATAATAAACCCTTTAAGGGTTTATGAAAGTGCAACGTAGACTAAACCCTTTTTACCGTATGGCAAAATTTTCAAAAACCCTTTCATAAACCCTTCCAAAGGGTTTATTACTTATATCTACCAGATTAAAATTAAGGTTTTGGAACTTACTGCGTTGTCTTAGGTTCGATCATGAGATGAATTGGTTGATAGTCCAAGATGTTATCCATTCGGTCAGTCGTATGATATCAAGATGAAGTAAGAAATGCTACTTAAATCAAACAAAATTTTATAGGAAACTGAAGATGATATAAAGTTAAGCGGAACAATTGCTATTACATTTTTAATTTTCATGA